ATGTCCCTTCTCATTAAAGACTTGCAGAGTTTTGGAGGTACCAAGTTGAGAAGAAATCAAAACATAGATCTGTCAGCAGTTGGTGTCCTGGGAAGAAATGTCTTAATTTTCTGAGGCCAAAACCTACAATGCTAGTAGCTTGACTATTAACACTCCTGGGAGCTTCCCAAGGGCTCTGCAAAGACTATAAAGATGAGCAGAGGAAAGATCAGGGCAAATGTCTCTAAGCAGAGAACTACTGGGCACAAAGATTCCAAGGCAAGACAGAGGTTAAAGCAATCCTGTCAGCAGGGTGGTGGTGGCGCAAGCCTTTAATCACAGCACTAGGGAGACAGAGGCAGGCGAATCCCAGTGAGTTCAAGGCCAGCCTGGTCTACAGAGCTATACAGAGAAACCCTGTCTCAAAAAAAATTTAAAAAAAAAAATCCTGTTGCCATAGAAATGGGTGAAGGACAGCTACACAGTGGCTTTTCCCTCCCTACAGCTGTTTTGGCCGAACAGAGCTGGAATGCCTGTGGGAACAGTCAGTGCTCCCCAGTGTTTTCCATTCCATTCTTCAACCCCAGCAGCCAGGCTGCTTTATCGCTCTCTCCATAGCCTCTGCATTGGAAGAATGATCATTTATTCTAGGAAGGCCCTGAGTCCATGGGTGCAAGAGCAATGCACCCCTGGGGAAGTAGGGTTCTTGATTGAAGCCTGGAATTAGAACCATTGCTGTCTGGGCAAACCAAGACATTAACCATATCTTAGCACCACACCCCATGTTGAGTCGGCTGGATGGGGCCAGTGGAAAGTCTGTGACCCAGAGACCAGCTGGCCAAGCACTGAGCAACACAAATACAGTGCAAGTCATAAGGGTCATTTGAAATCTCCAGTGAGCCTAACAAGTGAAAAAAATATGTGCAAAAGCAATTATTAAATGACTTTTATTAAAGTTGTTGTTTGATAGCTGCATACATGTAGATGGTGCATTCTGGTTATTGTCGCCTTGACCCCCGTCTTATTTCCCCCACCCCTATTGCTGTCCACCTCCTCTTCCCTGCAGTTCCCTTTCCCTCAGTTATGTCTTAGTTTCAGATTCACAGAGTTTGCCCAAAGCCAGCTATGTGGCCATGGAGTCAAAGCTACCCACTCAAGCCTGACCCAGCCATTCATATGCAGCTTAAGTCAGGGGCTGCCCCTCTCCCAGAATCTGTCAGTAGCCAGTAGTTCAGCAGAGAGGAACCGAATTCCATGAACCCTCCATTTCCATGATTGACTGTTGTCGGGCCCAGTCTTGTGCAGGCAGCCTTGGATGCTGTAGGATCAGGTTTGTACTGGCTGCATGGAAACAAATCTAATGATAGCTTTTATTAAGATGCAATATTCAAAGTATGATGCTCCCCAACTTACAATGAAGTAATGGTCCAACTAATGTGTGGTAAGTTGAAAATTCATCAGATGCAAAAGCACAAGCAAGCTTAGCAAGGCATTGTCATGTGGATTGATCCCTTCATGGCTGGCTGAGAGGTGCAGCTTCTGGTCCCTGCCCAGAACCTCCAGAATTATGAGACCAGATACTGCCAGCCTGGAAAAGATCAGCATTCATACCATGAGACTGACCACCAGATACATACCTCATTATCACAGATATAAGATGGAAAATCCCAAGCAGGGCCACTGGAAGTTGTAAATCATCTATACAATCGTCCCAACACATGATCAATACAGGGCATAACTGAAGTGTTTCCATGTCACGCACACATCTCACAAATTTTCATTGTGAAATCTTTACCAAGAAACCCTGGAGGTTAAGCCCCAGGGAGACCGTCTCACCCTCAAGCCAGGATGTCCCTCCATCACTGATGACAAGCCCCAACTGTGTCCATACAAGAAAAGCAGCAGCCACATGGAAGTGTCCCTGGCCACATGGGTCTTCTGTTTCCAGACTGAGCTACTAATGGAGCATCCCTCTTGAGTTTAGCAAAGTGCTGAACTAACATCAGCAGTTAGCACCCCTCTACATACACACAAATGCCATGTTCTGATAGACTGTTACAGTCTGGATCTGAAATGCTCCACAGAGGCTCACATTTTGAGCATCCTATCCCAGCTGTTTAGTGTGTCTTGACCCTGACCCTGTGCTAGGGATTGAACCTACAGCCTCATACATGCTTTTCTTTGTTTTTATTTTATTTTAACTTTAAGACAGCTGCTCACAGAGTTGCCTCAGCTAGCCTTGAACTTACTCTGTAGCCCAGGCAGGCCTTAAACTTGTGAACTTACCGCCCCAGCTTTATAGATGTACACTCCCAAGCCTGCTGTGGGACAGCTCTGAAGGCTATGGAGCTTTAGGAGGTGTTGTCCAGCTATAGTTCCTAGAGGTGGTGCCCATGTCTATTTCTCTTACCTCCCTCCTCCTGAAGCTCTGGGATATCGAACTCATTGAAGTGGAATGAGAGGCTAGTAGGCTCACTAGCGTAAGGATAACGAATGAATGAATGATACACCATGTAAGTGTTCTGTATGTGATAGCTAGCTTTTTTTTTTTTTTTTTTTTTTTTTTTTTTTTTTTTTTCTTATTGTCAAGCAAAGAAGATGTATCAGGCTCCTGAAGACACTGACAAAAATGACTCCCAAGGAAATCTTGGTTCTGGCAAAGCAATATCACCTATGTTCAGGTCACAAGGGTAGAAGAATCGGGTGAGTTACCTCATGATCTTTGCAGGAATGTGAGCTTCAAATAACCAGAGTCAGAAACCAGCTAAGGAGCCATTGTGCGCTCACTGCCCTCATTCCCAGCTTTTTAACTTGTTCAGTTATACAGATGTAGCACAGATTAAAGCTGATGTAAAATGAAGCTAGTAATCATCACACGCAAGGCCACAGTTCAGCCATTTTTGCTCCTGCCATTAAGCAGGCACTCTGCCCTGCTATGTTCCAAACGCCGCTGAGAGTTGTCATTGCAGGGATGGGACACGGTAACGCACTGCCTGAGGACAGCTTTATTTATGTTCCTGCTGAACGGACAAGCAGGCCTTGTTTTTCTAGACCATTCAGAGCACTGTGGCTCACATAGCACCCATGAGTCTACATTTAGAATCGTGTCTTCATTCACATTCTTTCCATGCAGCTCATGGCTCTGGGCTGGAAGACAGTGGTCACTTTTGCTTGGCTAGACCCCAGGAACCATGCTGGCTCTGGGCTCTGTAGACCCTGTGTTCTTGATCCAAAGCCCAACTGTTGTCTTTGCTGGGGGTGGTCTGTGTCAGTGTGCCCACGGTAACTAATGCAGATGTGGGATCTGTGGCTTGTGGAAGGAGGAAGCCTTCCCTGCAGGCAGCTGGATTCTGGGGTGCTGTGGTCTGGTTAGCTTGCTCAGAGGTTCCTGCCAGGCAGACGCTTATTGTTCTCTCCCACTACTGTTGACAAAGCTGCCTGTCACCCCTCGGCCCCCTGAAGATTCCCCTGGTCTCTTGTCAGTCAGCCACAGTATCAGCTTTTGCCTCGGAGCACAGATCGCCGTTCTATGATCCCAAACCAGACATGAGGTCATGCTTGCCACCTGTGAGGCATTAAGGGTAAGCTGGGAAGAGCGACACTGAGGAGGACAGCAAAGAGAGTTAGGAAATCAGAAGCCCCGCTGAATGGTTCAGCTCTTGTTACTCACCCAAAGCAAATTCCACGATAATGAGGTTTAGCAATGAGGGGCTGTCTAAAGTTGGAATGAAGTGACGCTGGCCACACACAGGTGACACGTGTGACCTTGTTTACACGTGTAATAGGGGAAAACAATCACTAAAATAGCAACTCTATGATTTCTTGGGTATTGTTTAATAGAAAGTTGTTTTGGTTTTTTTAAAGTAAGCTGGCTTAAGTTTTATTTAAAGGAAACTAATAAATAATTTAGATGGCTGAAGATATCACAAAAAATTGTGCAAAAATAATAAATAAATGGCTAGCATTTGGGAACCCTGACAATATATATAAATATATATATGGTCAGTCCACTGACCTTCAATCCCACAGAGCAATGGGTACTCTTCCAGTTACATAGGTTAACTGAGGGTCAGCCAGGAAGAGTGATTTGGCTGGTGTCAGAGAGCTAGGAATTAATGGGAACAGGGCTCCCAGGGTCTGTGTAATGTTTTCACTCCCATTTCAAGTTGTTATTTGTCTTGGGTGGGTTAGGTAACACTGAAAAGCTCATTTTTGAGTCTTCTTCAAACCATCTCTAAATGCTGAACCAGGAAAAGCACAGCCCCATCCACCTCCAGGGCCTGATGTTCACAGACTAAGGTTCAAGGCTGGGGCAGAGGTGGCTGCCCTTGAGGTGCCCACAGAGTCAGGACAGGCAGTCCACAAATAGATCCAGAGGTATAGTGCTGTGCAGGGCTCCCCAGGGCACCGAGCCCTGTACAGAGCCAGGTATCTGACAGGACTGTACAGTTGAAATCCCTCGGGCCACAGCCCGAGGGAACCTGGAATGGGGGCTTTATGAAAAAGAGGAGAACTTCTTGTATTGAACCGTGGGAGTAAGAGAGCTTTCACAGGACCCCGCTGGGGAGGATGAGGAGGGCAAGGAGCTAGCACTGCCTAGGCTGAGAGGAAGAAAGTGGTTGAGGCCATTTAGGGGTAGGGCAGATGACCTGAGGCCAATCTAGGATGCATCCATAGAGAGGGCGCGTGTGAACTCATCTTAGGACTTTGGGGTAGGGGTCTTAGAGAAGAGGAGGGGAGCCCTAGGCTGACGGAAAAGATTTGCCATGGGTACCCAGGTTTTGCAAACACGAGAGCCAAATTGTTGAGTAGACACTTACCTTGCTTCTTCCCAGGTTACTTCGCCTCCTTCTGCACCTCTCCCCTTTAAGCCCAGCCCAGCCTTCCCCCAGTCTGTGGCTGGCCAGATTATTTTGCTCCCAAAGTGTGGCAGAGTATGGTTCCTTACTCGAGGAATGCAGGCCGGGTTGTCCAGAGCCGATGATGAAACAGGCTATTTCTGCTCTGGGACATCAGCAGGCCACCGTCGCTGGCTCCAAGGCACACGCTATCATGTTCTTAACATTTCTTGAGAGAAACGCTTTCCTTCCCACCTTGAGATATTTTTATTTGAATCTAGGTTCTGGGGTAGCTTTAGAACTCATTCTGGACTGAAACTGAAAGCGTGAGGAGGGTCCAGCTAATCGGCAAACAATTTTCACTCCCCAAGTTATCTATTACTCGTGGCTGATCTGGATGTAAAAATAGCCTCTGAGGCTGTTTGTTTAATCTGACTGTTACTTGACACCACGCGGGTGTTGCAGAGCGGACTGTTTGCCTCTTCCCCACCAAGAACACCATTTGGTTTCCCCAGGCCAGTCTCTGCTTGGGGAAGCCTCTGGACCTTCCGTGTCTGGCAGCTTCTGGCCACTGATTTTGCTCAAGTGGGCAATTTGGTGTGAGACGCAGGCAGCCTGGGTTTTGAATCCTCTTTCCTCTCCTCTCTGGGCAGCCTGGTCAAAGGGGAAGAAGTCTGGGCAACTAGGCAGAGCCCGGTACCCTCCAGATCCTGGGAAGGCCTGTGGAACAAGCAGCTGGGACGCACGTGGAGAACGGAAGGTACAGTCTGCATGCTTGCTTGCCCCTTGACAGTCCAGGGAGTCTCAGGCTGATAGTAGAAGGGGTGTCTGCTCCGGGGACCGGAGGGGGCTGTAAGCATTGAGATGTGTAGGATGTGTCTACAGGGTGAGAGCACACTGTGCTTGGGCTCTCGGGGGCTGAGTGTGCTTTGTGGACCATGAACAGAAGATTTAGAGCATGTATGTGACTCTGCCTTCCCCGTACCTGTCAGGTTGCTCAGCTCTACATGGCAGGGTGAGCACATGTTTGTGAGTAAGTCTGATCCTTGCATTGCGGAATGGGACCAGGTTTTACGCAAGAGTTGAAAGAGATGACTTTTTTTTTTTTTTTTTTTTTTTTTTGTCACTCCCAGCTCTAACAGAAAGAGATACTGGCTATGGGACACTTTCTGGCATTCTGACTTAAGGGCTTTGGAAACACGTGGGACTCCAACACAAAGCCCTCAGCAGACTGCCTGTCCTCATGCACCCCAGGGAGCCCAACCAGATTCCCTACAGTCAGGCTTACCCAATGGAAAGCCATCTGGTTTTTGTTTGTATGTATGTTTGTTTGTTTTGTTTTGTTTTTAATGTTGTTGGGTTTTTTTTTTCCTCTGATGGAAAAGAATTGGTGATGAAAACACTTTTGAATATATGAAAATTTAATAGAACTAAGAAATAGTACTTAGTCTTAAAAATGCCTCTGTAAATACAGGAATCAGATGTGCATGTTAAAGGATGTCTGCTTTTCCAGCATTTGGAAACAGCGGTGATTGAAGGCCCTGTGACTGGGAGCCTGGATTTGTAAATAAAGCTTTTTTGGCACACGGCCCAGCGCATTCATTTGCATATAGCCAGGCTGCTTTTACACACCTGCCCAGACCGTGCAACTTGAAAAAATTAAATCAGCCGTGTGAGCTTTTACAGAAAAAGGTTGCTGACTGTCCACTGGGGCACGTGCTCCTGGGGCTAAGTAGAATTTTAATCTACGTACACCCACAATGGTGATGCAGTTCATGCAAGCAAGTCTGAATTCAGTGGGTCCCCTGAAAACAAAAGGAACAAAAAGTTATGCAAGTAGGAGAAGTTTGAGGCTTGAAGGTGGAAAGGGATCAGCTGGGATGGAAGAGAAATGACATAGGATAATGGAGGAGGAGGAAGAAATCAAAGGATAAAAAAAATAAAAACAAGTTTAGAAAGAATGAATAAAGAAAGGCCTGGAAGGAAGTTGGTCAGGGCCAGCAGCTGGCGGCCTGTTTGTCAGTTCTGGGTCACACCGGAAATGTTCAGTTTTGCCCTGTGGGGCTGAGGGTTACCTTAGCCTTAGAGTAACCAGTCGTGTGGAGTGTCCATGTGGCCAGCTGACCAGAGTGGATTATGCTTATTGGGGAGTTTATAAATAGCCATCTCCGGGCGACCCAAGTCCAATCCGCATCTGCCCCTGGGTCTTTGTGCTGAGAACAAGCTTGCCTGCTTTCTTGGTGACCAGAATCTGGTAGGGATGGGTACAAATGCTCACATTAAAGAGGAAGTGGGAAGGGGGCTGATGGGATGCTGGGCCATTGAGACAGAGGGACCAGAGTCCACCAGGACACACAGGCAGAGGGAGCTGTGAGGAGGTGACAGGAAAGGCCAGAGGCAGCCTTGTGGCCTCAGAGGGACAGTCCATGTCTCTGGCTGGCTGCCTTTCCTCAGCAAGTGTCTGTGCTTCCTGCCTCTCTGCTCTTGACCCTAACAGGGGGAAGCCCCACGTTCTAAAATAGCTTACTCCTCCAGTCATAGGCAGTGTCAGTAACTGAGCCCTGCCCATGACACCAAGGCGAGGCTGCCTTGCTTGTTTTTTTTGGGGTTTTAGTCTACCTGCTCAGGGTCACTGAATGGGTGTTGGAGGGGCTTTAAGGGAATGTCCCTGGGAGAAGGTGCACAGGGTGCAAGCAGGTCCAAGAAGGTTAGAGTGCCTGGGCCTTGTTTCTATTGGTGGATTTAACCACATTTCACAAAGTCTAGCCAATCCACATCCTTGTAACTCCATGGGTTTTCATTTCTTTGTTATTTCTGCCTTTTTTTGTGTTTAAACACAGGCTGGCCTTGAACTTTCCATCCTCTGTCTCTGTATCCAAAGTGCCAAGTTCTGAAGGTAAAGGAGCGTGTCACTCCTTTCATGTAGTTAAGAAAGCTCTAAGTTCTTCTTGGCCTCTGCTTGGTTCCCAGGGGCTTACATGACTTGAGCTGGTGGCAATGGCTGGAGGGGAAGCCAAAGATCAATAGAGGTCAGAGGACCCAACAGGGAACCTGTGGAGTGCTTGCTTGCCAGCGCTAAGGCACATCACACAATGTGTAAGCCACAGGGTCTGTGTAGGCTGTAGCTGCTTTTGGGACTAGTGCAGTATGGGTAACACATGGGCTTCTGGAGTCAGGGGAAGGTAGAGCATGTTCTTGGCTGGAGGACCAGCCTCAAGTGGCAGATGGAGCTGAGATGGGACAAAACATGTTGTGACCTGGGCCTGTGTAAGTTGACCTTTGAGGAATCTGACAGCAAAAGAGTTTGAAGAACCCCAACAAGTACGAGCGGCTTCTCTAAGGACTTGGGAGAGTGTTCTCACCCAGTTCTCTAAGGCCAGGCTCAGACAGGAAGTGAGGAGAGGGCAGCACCCAGGAAGGGCTCCCCAAAAAAGTCCCCAGAGCTCACACTCAGCTTCAGTGGGAGCCCCAGGCCCTTGCCAGACTCAGGCAGTCCCTTTTTTCCGAGAGGGACCTTTCTTCAGGAACTGTCTGGCTAGATGGATAGACAGATTGGCCTCAGACTTTGCCCAAAGGCAGGAAGGGGTGTTGGGATTCAGTAGGTGCATCTAGGATCGGGGTTTCTGATACTCCCCCAGCCTCTCTGCCATGATTGGATTGGAACCTGCTCTCATACTCAGTACTGCTAAGCCCCACCTTTGAGGAGCAGGTCACATTGGAGCAGCCCCTTGGCTGGGTCTGAGACTACCAGGTCCCATGCAGTGTTGTGTTTTGGGGATCAAAACCTGGGCCTTGGCAGCTCTAACTAGCTAGGCCTGACCATCCATCCTCAATAGGCCAACTAGAGAGACAAGTACAGAGATTTAACTCATGTGACCACACTAGAAAGAGGAACACAGAGTCCCAGTGATCCCCAAAGCCATCTCTTGGAGGTCCTGATGTGAAGTTTAAGTTTAAATTTTATGTGCATGCCCCACTAGCTCATTCAGTAGAATAAGAGACGCCTACATTTAAAGATGAAGATAAAAATCATTGACCATTATTGTCTAGCTCTGTCCTCTAAGGCAGTCTAAGTTGTCACACTGTGAACTCTCCCTGAGAGACCAGACCCTTCTTTGGCTGGAACCAGGCTTCAGCTCTTCTCTTCTGCTAGCATGAGATTTCTGGGGAAATTTCACCCTAGGGACCTTTGTTTCATTATTCTGATAGCCAAAGAAAGAGCAGAGGTGCCTTTCTCTTTAGAATATCTTCGCTCCTGCTGGGGTCATTACAGCACCATCAACCCTGCGCCCAGTCTGGCCTTGTCTGACTTTCACAGGAGGAAGACCCAAGTGCTCCAGAAGTCAGAGGCAGAGCTCAAAGACACAGGGCTACAACCTGTCCTCATTCCCACACCCCAGCCTCCATGCAGTGGCTAGCTACGCTACATGCTGCCAATAGACAAGACCTTAGCATGTCTGGGTTTATGGTTAAGGTCACCCAGCACGAAAAGTCCTGGGATCTCCTTCATGGATGCAGATAGAGAGATTAAGTAACTTGTCCAAGCATGTACAGCTGATGAAGGGCACAGCAATCAGGCCAGAGAAGGCCAACAGAGAACGTCACCTCAAGACCAGGCTAGCCTCAGGAGCTGTGGTCAGCCCCAAGTCAGTGGAGGATCTCTCTGTCACCCTTTATGTTGGGGAAATGCAAAGCCCTCCCGGTGACTAATGATTGACGGTAGGCCTGTATTAACCAAGTTACCTGGTAGGAATGACTATGCCATCTCTGCTTCACAGACCCAAGAATCTACTTCATCTTCGCAGTAACCACAGGAGACAGGCATATTTCATGTATCAGATATGAAGAAACAGCAGCACAAAGAATGGTTTGTTTACTTATTTTTATGATTGGTTGAGGGTCACACACAGCTAGTTCAGCCAGGATCCAAGACCAAGGGCATGTGGCTTCCATCCATGCTCTTTCTTTCAGGTTATACTGCCCCTATCTGGGGATTGGCAGTATTGGGAGCAACACTAAGTGAGCACCTACTATGTGCTTGATGGATATGAGCTCCTCTGGCACCCTTGGCCTTCTGCGGGTGGATGTCATTGCTACCATTGAATAAGGATTTCTTCCTGGCACTGTCTGCTTCAAAACCTCAAGGTCCCTGTTTATAAGCACAAATGGCTTATAAACAACACAGTTCTGGTGGCTGTGAAATCTGAGTTCAAAGCACTAACCCAGCCCAAGAACCAAATCCTCACATGTGACACCTCCCTGCTATGCATTCACTAGGTAGGAAGAGATCAAGGAAGCTATAGGGTACTTACATAAAAAAAAAAAATCCCATGTACAGGGCTCCACACACGTGACCTACTCACCTCCCAGACCCTGATCCATGGCATTCAGGATTAAGGTTAGACACACAAACATGGGATGCACATGCAGGTCATGTTTGTATCTTGTGATAAGAATCCCCATGTACTGAATCCTCACTCCATGGAAGTCCGACCATGTTCTTGCAGTTTCTGCCAAGTCTACCCATGGTCTTTCAGTTCCCCCATTCTTCCCACATCCTCCCAGGGAGCTACCAGACCCTGCAGCTGGCCAGGCAGAGGTTCAAAGTGGAGAGGCCAGGTAACTCGTCAAGTTCTCCCAGGACTGAGGGATGGAAACACAGATGGAGCTTTGGGTCACATCTTCCCCTCTACTTCCTGGCCATGACCTTAAGGGAGTTCTCCAACCTCTCTGGGCCTCAGTTTCTCCATCTCTGAAAGT